TCGGCGCTGCCTTGGCGCATGTGGGAACATTATGCGGGGGCGGAAGGAATCACCAGCGCATATTGAGACGTTGGCGTTATCGAAGATGCCTACGGCGAATCACCGCCGCCCCCTGCCCCTGTGGACGCGCATATGTGGCCGACAGTTTGGCTAGAGCTTGGCCAAGCTATCGGGCCAGTTGTTCCCCGAGTCGGTTTGGAAAGCCTTCGGGGAACGCGTGGGGGAGCAACAGGAGGAGGAGGATCAGGAGAGGTCCCCCAGGACCCCCCCAAGGTGGCAAAAGACGCCCAGGAAGAGGAGGAGGGAGGTGGTATTCTGACCCGGGACCCCCCCCAGGACCCTCCCAGGGACCCCCCCCGGGTGTTTCCCGGGCCCCCCCCCCCCGGGCCGGGGAAGGGAAGAAAGGGAAGTGGAAACCCTTCGAGTCAGTTCACTGTGCGCAGGAGGAAGCGATGAAGGAGGAAGAGACGGAGGAGGAAGGAGGAGGAGGAGGAGGAGGAGGAGGAGGAGGAGGAGGAGGGGGAGACGAACGAGAAGGAGACGGAGAAGGTGGGAAAGCACGGACGAGAACAACCGATTCCTCACGCCGACAGGTTCGGCGGATTTTCTGATAGGGAGGGTTGGCCTGCGCGCAGCAAGCAACATGAGTCGTGCACACCCGCCGTCCCTGTGGAAAACCATTGCAAAGTGGTCGCGGGGCGCCCGGGCATGCTCCAGAAATGGACGCAACGTATCTGTTGTATGGTTTTTGTTGACAGGAGTGGTGGTGGTGTTGTGTGTGTGCGTGTGTGTGTGTGTGTGTGTGTGTGCGCGCGTGCGTGCTTGCGTGCGTGCGTGCGTGCGTGCGTGCGTGCGTGCGAGCGTGCGTGCGTGCGTGCGTGCGTGCGTGCGCGTGTGTGTGTGTGTGTGGTGTGTGTGTGTGTGTGTGTGTGTGTGTGTGTGTGTGTGTGTGGTGTGTTGTGTGCGTGCGTGCGTGCGTGCTTGCGTGCGTGCGTGCGTGCGTGCGTGCGTGCGTGCGTGCGTGCGTGCGTGCGTGCGTGCGTGTGTGTGTGTGTGTGTGTGTGTGTGTGCGCGCGTGCGTGCGTGCGTGCGTGCGTGCGTGCGTGCGTGCGTGCGTGCGTGCGTGCGTGTGTGCGTGCCTGTGTGTTTGTGTGGTCGGGCAATGACAAGACCCTCCCCCGAGCAAGGGAACGAGGGGCTTGGGCAGAGAGAAGAGCACAACTTGGGTTTGCTAGAATAATCATTTGAGGGGTTGTTACGCCACCTTCGCCCCGAGGGCTGGTCGGGTTTCCAGGTGTTGCGCACACTTTCGTTTATCATTATCCTTCGTATTCTGGTTCGCGGATGAGGTTACCGCGCAGTTCACGATTGTGAGGCTTAAACCATGTCCAGGGGTTACACGGATGACAGGCACATTCTCCCCCTTCTGCTCTCGCTGCTGCTGCCGCCTGCTCCTCCTCCTGCTCCCCCTCCCTCCCTTTCCCTGCCTCCCTCCCTCGTTCCCGTGCCTCCCTCTCCCTCCCTCCCTCCCACCTTTTCCGCCTCCCTCCCTCTTCCTGCTCTCTCGTCCTCCCTTCTCCCCAGACCCAAGACACCGCTGCGATTCTCGACGTTTCCTCCTGTCGAGTCGATCCGATCTGGCTCTCCCTCCTCCCCACCCCCCGCCGCCCGCCCCCTCCCCTGCAGGCCCCAGCAGGCTTCACCCAAAAACCGCCGGAACGTATGCGAGCCACGAAGACCCAGGGAGAGAGGGAGGGAGGGAGGAAGGAAGCGGAAGCCGAGAAGGGGATCGAGGAGGAGGATCGAGGAGGAGGAGGAAGGAGGAGGAAGGAGGAGGGGGAGGAGGGGGGGGAGGAGGAGGGGGAGGAGGAGGAGGAGGAGAGAGGAGGAGGAGGAGGAGGCGGGAGGCGGAGGCGGAGGAGGAGAGGAAGGAGGAGGAAGGAGGATGAGGATGAGGAGGAGGAGGAGGAGGCGGAGGAGGAGCAGGAGGAGCAGGAGGATGAGGAGGAGGGGAGGAGGAGGAGGAGGAGGAGGAGGAGGCGGAGGAGGAGGCGGACGAGGAGGAGGAAGAGGAGGAGGAGGAGGAGGAGCAGGAGGAGGAGAGGGAGGCTTAAGGAGGGAGGGAGGGAGAAGCATCGAGGAGGAGGACGGAGGACGGACGACGGAGGGAGGATGGGGAGGAGGGAGAAGCCCCTTTCCCCCCAGGAGGAGCCTGACGTGGAGGCGGAGGAGGCAGGGAGGCAGGGAGGCAGCAAGGCAGGGCAGGAGGGAGGAGGAACGCGAAGGAGCATCGAGGAGGAGCGTCGAGGAGACACATCGAGGAGGGAGCCCCCCCACCACCAGGAGGCCAGCGCGGAGGCACCCTCGGCCGCGGCGGCCCTCCGCGCCGCGTGGCCGCGGAGCGTCGAGGGGCTGCTGGCCGGCGTGGCGCTGCGGCTGGACGGCGTGCGGGGCGCTGCGCGCGGCGGCGCCGCCGCGCGCCGGCTGCTGCCGGAGGCGCGCCGCGGCATTCGCCGGGGCCAACAATAGGGGGCGACAAGCACAAGGGGGGAATGCATCGACCCCCAATCGCCCACTGATTCCCGATTGAGCCCGATAGCCCCACCCCGCCCAGGAGGGTGCGTATTCACTATCGGGGGCCTTGTCGCCGATCTATCGACGATGTATCGCCGGTTCCAGGTCGATGCATCCCCCCTATGCCTACCCCCCCTATCATTGCCCCTCAATTCGGCTGGGTCCGATCGAAATGGGTACCCAGAGATCCGACGCTCCGACAAGATTGGTGCGGAGGGTTTTCGTCAGCTTTCGGCCTTTGGGCGCCCTGGCTGGGCCTCGGGACTGTCAAAGAACGACTCGGGACGAAGAACGGGCCCCACAGGAAAGTGGTCCAGGCTTCAGTCGGGCTTGTCCCTCTACAGGGGGAAAGTTCAAAATAGTTACACATAATATGGGCTCGATTTTTTGTGACTTGTTTTGCGCATTCGTAGATATATTCATGGGCTTACGCCGCACCGCCGACCCCTTGGGATATCTGGGAAGGCCTTGGGTTGGGGGGGGGTCCGTGCAGCATTAACAATCTGGCTCTCGCTATCTCGCGCGTGGCTTTTTCTTGTGCACTGCCCCCCCATGTCGCCGCGCCAAATTGCCGCCGGTCGCTGCGGCCTCGCATCAGGTCCACCCTCCGCAACTTGGTACGTTTTTATGTACTACTGATCGTATATATACACACATAAACATATGTGTATATATACACAGAAGCATCTGCAATCTTGTATTGTACACACACACACGCGTACATAACATGGGCAGGCATGCGTGCACAGAGGTGGCACTGCGCGGTGCCATTCGACAGCGTGTCTTTGGGCTCAAGAATTGGCTCGTGGTGTGTTCATTCGGCGCCAGCGACAGCGGATGATAATGAGGCGCCAGCGACATCGGTCACGAGCTGATCTCAATTAGTTTTTGCGTGTGCCGGGCATGTACATATATAAGCCAGATGATACAGGGGCGTCCCCCCGCATCGCAAGTATATATATATATGTGTATGTATACATATGTGTGCATGTGTATACGCATATATATCTATTTATCTATTTATCTATCTATCTATCTATCTATATATATATATATATCTATCTATCTATCTATATATATATATATATATATATATACAAATGTGTACATACGTAGGGGCGTCCCCCTCATATGCTGGCTTGCGGGTTTCTTTTCCGAAGATATTGTTCAACGTCTTTGAAACACAAGTGCAGATCGGACGTCGCCGACGCATTGCGGCGAGGCTCACGCGTGTGCGGAATCAATAACGGCGAGTTGAGCTGCTGCGACGCAAGTTTGGGGAAAAGGAGGAGGCATGAGGTGGTTCAGAAAAAGGAGGAGCGATTAGTGATGCAGATTCTGTCTCTTCTCAACCGCAACATTGTAAGAGGACTCCGACAAAAACCCTGCGAGGAGAATCTCGCAGTGTGCGGACGTCCCACCGCGCAGGGTGAAGGTTTTGAAGCCGGTCTTGCGTCCCCCGGACCAACGGGGGTGCCTCTTGGAGGATGTCATCCTCAGAGGCGCGTTGGAGGCTTTGGACAGATCGAGACCCGATCAACAAAAAATCAAAACCCAATTGTCGTGTGAGGATAATCGCTCTGTGCGGTCTGGTGGTGAGTGTGCGTTCTCTATGCGGTCGCGGTGGGGGCTTGAGGATGGTCAGGCTCGTTCGGCGCAAGATCCTTTGGTAGCCAGGCCTTCCTCCGACGAGACCGTTCATGCGAGTTTCGTTGGGATGCTCGGGTGTCACTGTGACATTAAGTTTCGATGACAGCGGCTTTTCCGCAATCTATCCAAAGTTGCTCCGAGAGAATCGTGTCTTGCGGTCCGGGTTGGCAATGTGCTTTGCATGCGGCTGCTCCAGGGGGCGAGGAAGGGCACGTTTTGCGCGGCGGCTGCTCCTTTGGCAACGAGGCTCCCTTTCCCGCGCCTCAGGAAAACCACGTGCTTCTTACAGGATTGTTCCAGTGTTGCTGTGGCTTCAAATGCCGATGGCAGGGTCGTCGCCGCAGCCCACTCCACTCTCGGGCCGCCCAGGAGCGGAGGGCACTCCACCAGGCGCACGTACGACAAAACATACGGTTTACGCAGGAACAGGCGATTTTGCGCGGCTAGAGGCCCTCCAGGGACGCATCGTGGATGCCTCTTTGGGCGTCTTGGGGGCCTGTTCAGCCGTTTGGAGGCCGTCGTCAGCGTTTTGGATCGCTCTTGGACCGTCGAGGACCATGTGGAGCTCTCTTCGAGGCCAGTCGGAACGCTCGTGGAGCGCTCGCAGGGCCGTTTTCGGAGCTCTTTTCGGGTCGTGTTGGACGTCGGGGGGCCAGTCTTGGGGCCCTCGAGGGCTGTGTGGGGGCCCTCTTGGAGGCGTCGTGGGCCGTCTGGGAGCGGGTTTGGGTGGATCTGGAACCGTCCAGCGCGGTGGACACCCCAAAAAGCGCACGTGTGAATCACTATGCGTTTTACGGAGGAAACGAGCGATTTGGTCTTTGGGCGCAGCGTGGATGCCTTTGGCGCGTCTTGGGGGCCTCTTCAGCCGTTTGGAGGCCGTCGTCAGCGTTTTGGATCGCTCTTGGGCCGTCGAGGACCATGTGGAGCTCTCTTCGAGGCCACTCGGAGCGCTCCTGGGGCGCTCTCGGGGACGTTTTCGGTGCCCTTTTTTTGGGCCGTCTTGGGCGTCTGTTGGCCCGCCTTGAGCCCCTCGAGGGCTCTGTGGGGACCCTCTTGGAGGCGTCGCGGACCGTCTGGGAGCGGGTTTGGGTGGCTCTGGGACGGTCCCGGGCAGGGGCGCCCCAGAAGGCGCACGTATGAAAACATGTACGTTTTACGAAGGAAACGAGCGGTTTTTTTGCGTCTAGAGGGGCTCTTGGGGGGAATATTGGATGCCTATGGGGGCGTCTGGGGAAGCCTCTTGAGCCGTCGGGAGGCCGTCGTCGATGGTTTTGATCGCTCTTGGACCTTCTGGGACCATGTGGAGCTTTGTGAAGGGCCACTCGGAGCGCTCCTGGAGCGCTCTTGGGGCTGTTTTCGGAGCCCTCTTGGGCCGTCTAAGACGCCTGTTGGCCCATCTTGGGCCCTCTAGGTGTCTGTGGGGGACCCTCTGGGAGGCTTCTGGGGCCGTCTGGGAGCGGGTTTGGGGGCCTCTTGGGCCGTCGGGGAGCATCGGGAAAAAAGGTCCCGAGCGACATTCGTAACACATGTACATTTCACGAAGGGAATGGCCCAATTTTTGCGTCTAGGGGCCCTCGTGGAACGCATCTCGGATACCCTCGGGGGGGCTCGTGGGGACCTCTTCTGCCGTCGAGGACGCCTCGTGGCCCGTCTTCGGGCCAACTTGGGCGTCTTGGAACGCTCATTGGGCGTCCCAAACCCATTGCGAGGTTTTGCGCAGTCGTAGATATATTTCTAGTATGGTTTATTTTTGGCAAACATCCGCCTGCGGGGGGACATGCCAGACCCAGGTCCAGACCTCGTGGGCCCACGCATCAAATAACATGGGGGCAGCTGGATGTCTGGGTATGGAGAGAGCCCAGACCCCCTCGGGTCATGAAAGGAACGCGGCGCGAGGTTCTTTCCTTGTTTTTGGCTTGTGGGGGCCAACACCGCGCCTCGGGGCCGTCAGAAAACGGCCCAGGATGAAAAGCGGGGCCAGGGGAAGAGGTCGCGATCTCTGGGGTTTGACTTTCTGAAGCAGAACTGACGTCGGGGGTCTGGGAACGGGGGCGAAAACCGACGGCAGTTCCTGCCCATTTTGAAAAAGGACTCGCTGTCGGCGTCGCCGCGGACGTTGCCCATTTCAGACAGAAGACCGTCTGCCCGACAGCGGTCGCTGTTGGCTTTGGGCAGCATTTGTTGTTGGGCATCGTGCTGTGGTGCGACAGTGATGTTGTATAGAAGAGAGACGGATGGAGAAGAGGGGGTGAGGAAGAGCAGGAAAAGGAGCAGGCCAGCACCCTGGCGACGACGGCTTGGGGAACGCGGACCTGCCAGAAGACTGACAGGGAACAGCTGGGGCGGCCTGAAGTGCATTTACACGAAGACCGTCGCAACGTGGAGTGGTTGGACAGTGTGACGTACGACGACTTACGCGACTGGGTCCCGACCTTGGGTAATACGCCCAAGGGCGCCCATCGCGAGTTGGCGGTTCTGCGAGACACTGTCTGCAAGGAAATCATCATGGCACGCGAGTTGGACGACGCCGTGGCCGAAAGCCGGGCTGGCAAGCTCCTAGCGTATTTGGACAGACTCATCCTGGCCACCCCGCGCCGGCGTGGCAAGAGGGAAGGGGGCTTGTCCCCGCTCATCGCCGCCCGCCTGCGGCTGGCGTGGAAAGGAGACCGGGGCGCCCTCTGGCGAGACGCGGTCGCCGCCGGCGGCCACGCGGCGCAGCCGGGGGGGAGGCAGCGGACCCTGACGGAGGAAGCGCGGTCCATTAACACGCTGGTCTGCGAAGGCTTGCTCAGCAAGGCCTTGTCGTTGATCCGCAGCACGGGCGCCATCTTCACGAGCGGAACAGCGCGCGCCGCTCTGTCAAGCCTCGTCTTCCCGCAAGGCGTGCCGCCGACGCGACCTCCCGCGGTGGCCCCAGTGACGCCCGACATCCGCGCCGACCTGGTGTCCGTGGCGCGCCGGCAGTTCAGTCGGTACCCGGCGCGGTCAGGGCCCGGCCCCAACAGCAGCCGCTTCGAGCACTGGGCAACGACCGCGGCAGGCAATGAGGCGGCCGACCTCGCCGCGGATGTAGCCGTTTGGTTTCTCTTGGAATAATGCCGGGAAGATTTCCTGCGGGCGAACCTGGGCGCGCGACTAATCGCTCCGCGGAAGTCCAACAACAGGGTTCGCCCCGTGGCCTGCGGCTCCGTTCTACGGGCGGATAGCAGCAAGGGCCGGATGCCACGTGTTCCGAGACGAGCTACGAGACGGTTGCCGGATATACCGGTTCGCGGT